TCCTGTCACTCCAGAAATAGAAACAGTCTCGGTACTCTTATGCTCCGAAGGCATTAAAGTACACTGGGCTCCAGTATCTATCAAGGCCTGGTATCTCTGAGGATCCGATGTGCCAGGCCATCGAACCCACACAGCCCAGTAAACTTGGTTATCTTCTTCATCCCTTTCCTTCTCCTGGCAGAAGGCAGGGCCCCTCTATTGGTCTTGATCAGAGCATTCGTCGTCAGAGTCTGACTTTGACTTAGACTTTTTGCCGTTGTTGAAGTGGACCTCCATCTCCTTGTGCCTCGACGATCGCAGTTTCTCTTCTAAGAAGTCTCCATCTACTACATAGACAACTTTCTTGTCAGTGTCCTTTCGCTTCAGCTCCCTCACTCTGGCTTCAAGCTTAGAAGTGGGTTCACCATCCCACTTCTTCATGTTTTCTCCTTTACTACGAAGGTATGCCCATAGTTGGTTACGTGACCGACACTTAGAGTTCTCTTTCCTTCGACGTGTGAATGATAGGGATTGTGAGCAAGATCGAGACCAGGATTGAGGTCTAGGCTGAGGTCGTCTTTGTCGATCCCGCCGTGATCTTCCCATTGGCCTTTCTTGGTAATCTCTATACCTTCTGTCCTCTCTGTCTCTAAGGTCATCTTCATATCTGGAATATTCATAATCTCTCTCCATTCTTTCCCTATCGTAGGTGCGTCGGTACAGGGGATCGAAGGAGTCTTCCATATTTTCCTCTATGGTTCTTATCCAAGCACACATGGTGTCCACGCTTGGTTCCTCCATCTTTGGATTATATACGGGTATCAAGCAGGAAATATATGGTTTAGGGGCACCTTGAATTACCTTTTTCCACATTGGTTGCGTGCAGGGAACATTCTCAGGAACTTGGATGTCATAATAATCTGGATCAGAATAGATGATCTCCAGCATGGCCAATTCCCGTAGGTATTGGATGCCTTCTTCCGCAGTCCTCCACCTTCTTGAAGAACTCTTCAGGGACTCCTTAAATGGGTATTTCATTCTCACCACGTGGAGGATTCGGTGCCAAAGACTGGACGCCATTTTCTCCCTTCCCATTTCTTGCTCTATCACAGGGTCTCGAGCAATGGATCCCAATTGTCGTGCTTCATCACCTTCAGTTATATGACTATCAGCTCCCTTGTCCCAGCATCGCACCAGCCAGGTGAGGACTTCTTCACCAGGCAAGCGCATATAATCTCTCCGTAAATCTCAAAGCTCTCTTGTGGTCAGTGATTGTGTAATTTCACTTTCTCGCATTATTTCTTGTCCATCTCTCCCACGTAGAATCTTTTCCACCTCTCTCTTCACTCTTCCGCTCCTACGTGGGCCTGCTCCCACCTCCTCCCTATATCTCTCACGTGGAGGTGGGGACTGGGCATGCCATGGGGATAAGCTTCTATATCGTTCATGGCGTGGCGATGGACTTCTACGCCATTCACACCGTGGAGTTGGACTTCTACGCTGTTCATACCGTGGGGATGGACTCCTACGCCGTTCGCGATACCCAGCGGGTGGAGGTAGTGAGTAATCTTTTGTGTGCTGAGATAAGGGCCTCCTCCTCCAATCATTCACACCTCCAGGAGAAGGTTGGGTCTGGAGGGGTAGGAATAATTCTCCCTCCGATTGAGGGGGATACTTTGGCTCCTTCTTTGCATCTTTTGTAACACTGAATGTGTAGTCAGGATATAAATCATCAAGCGACAATATACCACCGACCGTTTGTACTGTTACTTTCTTTTCTCTTGATACTGCTCTATATTCCTTTGGGTGTGCCCCTAGTTCTTTTGGACGTGCTCCTTCCCGTGTAACCGTTTCTTCCTCTCTGGCACCTGCTTCTTCTCCTCCAATCGCTCCTTCCTCAGTCACAGCCACTTCTTCCTCTCTCGCCGTCGCGCCTTCATCTCTTGCTGTTGCTCCTTCTCCCATTGCTGCCGCTCCTTCGTCCATTGCGTCTTGTGTGGATTGGATAGGTTCTTCTGTTCCTTTTTCTTCTTCTTCTTCTCTTTCTTCTGTGCGTTCTGGTTGCGGAGATGGGTCCGTAAGTTCCTTGATCTCCCTTACCCACGTCTTCTTCTTCTTAATAGGGGCAANTACTAATTTTTTTTAAATCGATGGTGTTTTCTCTTAGCATTGGGTGGTTTTGTTTTCCTTTTAAGAAAATCCTTATTTAGGACTTGCAAACAAAATCAAAGATAGACTATATACTTGTGTAGGTTTTTTTTTTTAAAGCCTGAGTAGATGCTTCAGAAACACCACGATTCTGTGTATTTTGGGAAATAGTTGCTGAATTAAGGAGAGGCTTCTTGTAGTGGTTGCAGTAGAAGTGAGTTATCAACGCTATCTAGGTGGGGAGCTAATTAATACCTTGTAGAATCCAGTCTTGGGATCAGGGTGGTATGTGGGATCATGGTATATATGTGGTATGAGGGAAGTTGAAGTTGGAGAGGATTTGGAGGGCTTTTCTGCTCATTTGAAGTCATGTTTTGGTGACTGCTTATGGAAGAATTTAGCTTGTCTCTTTCTTATAACCAGTTTTTAACATCTGTCTGAAGCAAGGAAAAGTTGAAGGATTTCTTTCATATGCTTACCATTTTAATTTGCTCTTTAGAATTTAGCCTAAAAGCTTGTATGGTTTAACAAGGTCTTCTGCTTTCGTGGCTCCCATGGGTTTTTTAAAGACATTCAGCAGTGTAAAGACTGCTCCTTCACATCATTAATAAATACTAGCTTCTGATGTAATATCCACAGAACACTATTTGATAACTGGATGGATGCTGTGTGTTTCTGGAGATGGTTGTATGTTGTTCTAGCATGTTCCCATTCTTGCTTTGAACCAAGGTGATAAGATCCTGGAGGCAGGAACTTCTAAACACTGAAATGTCCATATAATAGACCCTGATGTTCAGGAAGGGTCCTTGATAATACTGTAGTGTATTTATGTGATGTTGTTGTAACTGCACTTGGAGATAGTTCTGCTTCCTGTAACAGACAGGATTTCCTGTACTACATGCAGGAATATGTACCTTTGCTTAAGTGATGAGCACTAGTAAATGATTACTGGAATATGCAAACAGAATAATGGAAATACTGTAGAAAAAGGTGGCCACGGTGAGTTTTCTCTTGTTTGTTTGTGATAGGAAGGGAAGGATAGTGGGGGGGGGAGAGGGTGTCAGAAAACATATGCATGGCTAAAGTTCCTGATTTTGAGGAAAAGGTGTCATTTCACCTCCTCTACATAGAGGACTTAAGTCCTTGAAGTTCTTCATCATGTAGTATCTTGACAATAGTAGATGTTTTAATCAGGCCATATGAACAAAGCTAAAGAAATACTTAAGGTAATGGTGTAGCTACAATGCTGTGAACATATAAAGAAAATATAAGTAATAGGATAATGTTAATTTCTTTTACTAGGCTGATCAGTTCACTTGGAGGATAAAAGCCAGGTAAATAAACTCTTGGACACTTGGTTAAAATTCTTACTGCCCTCTATACTTCCTTGGATAGACAAATGCAAAATATCAGTGGATTCCAGGGGTAAGAACAGTGTACCTTTTTGTTCAATAACTAAAAAGTGTTTTTGTACTTTCTTAAAATTTGCATTTGGTGAGAAACTGCATCTGGCTTCATTTGGAAACTGAGCAAATAGTGAAACTGTTTCAAGACTGGATGCTATTACTTCTTTTTTTTACTCAATAAATATTTTTGAGTGTGTTACACATGAAATCATATGACTAACCCGTACTGCCACTTCATCCATTTGCAATGTATATGGCTTTTTAGTATGTCCTTTGGCTCCTTGTTTACTGGGTCTGTGTGAGGGGTTGAAACTACTACACTGTATTTAGAGGTAGTTCTGTATCTTCCTGATCTTTACATACATATTCTCCATTTCTTGGTTCCCTGTCCCTAACTTTGTCTCTGGATCTTGGGTGTGCTGCAGTGTAGTTGTTGCAGTTGGAAGCTCAGTTCCTGTTGAGTGTGTGTGTAACAACCTGTGGCTGTTTTTAGGTCTTTGCTGTCTTTCAGATTTTGAACACACAGCCCAGTGAAATTGATGGCAAATGCTTTCTTTAAAGGTAGTTGTGCAACAGATTAAGAAAAAAAGGAAACTGAATACTTGCTTGTGGTTGAACTTTGGCATGAGTAGAAAGACTACTGGCAAATCATGACAATACACAGGCAAATATGCCATTAGTGTATTTTTTTAATCTCCAAACATCATAACAAGCTGATACATTTAGAAGTGCTTGCCCTCATTCACAAAGTAATCTTCAAGCTTTTTTGTTCTGTTTTTATTGCTATATAGGAATATTTTTACTGATTTAATGAAAACTCTGTTTCTGGGATGTCATAAGCATGAGGCAAGATTACAGGGTGTACTGATTCATTTACTTTTCAATGTCTAACTATTCAATTTCTGAAACACAGGCACTTCTTCAGGATTGGAGAGCTGCCTTTCTTGGGTCTCATGGGATCATCTGAGGTAGTCTGACCCTCATCCACCTTACCTTTTTGACAAGGTGTCATGGTTTGAGATAGCCCCGAAATCCAATTCCCTAGCTCTATTCCCCCTCCCACATCTCAACCTAATGTGAGATGGGTTTTTCCAGACAAAAAGTGGGGGAAAGGGAATATATTACAATGACTGTACAAATAAATACCATATCCCATAATACACACAATCACAACTATCTCTACCATGACATATGTATTTACAATGGATCAGATCTCTTCTCTCCTCCAAATAAAAGTCCAGGAGGGAAAGAAGGACAGATCCCTTCCAGTCCTTAAGCAGCAGCATCTTCTAAGGCAGCGATCTGTCTGTCCTCTCCACATGCAGCAGCTGATAGCTGGATTTCTGCCAGCACTCATGAGGGAGGTATCCAAGCTCCCTCGGCCCCCTTGACACAGGCAAAGGGGTCTTCCGTGGGCTTCGTAACCCCAGACAAGGTCGTTTCACCACGTCATATCACAAAGACACAAGAGGGGGGTCTTCGTGACGGTCTGGTATCTCCAGGAGATTCAAACTTGCAGGGCCTCTGTGCCCTGTCTCTCAGGCTGCCACCGTGGCAGCAGTGCGAGGGTGGGGGGAGCCAAGGTCAACTCCCCCTGCATTCCATCTGGCCATCCCGGTCCAGCTCCAGGATGTCTTTTGAGCTTCTTAGCTCCTCTCTCTCTCTCTCTCTCCGGTGCTGCATGTCTAAAACTCTTCTCCTTAATAGGAGTCCATCTCCCTCTTCTCCAAGAGGGTCTCCAAGGGAGTTTTGGGGAATCTGGTATCAGTCTTACCCCCAGAACTCTGTCTCTCAGCTGCTGGCTCTCTTTCTCCTCGGCTCTCCTTCCAGGAGTCTTCTCTGTGGTGCTGCATGTTGTTCCTGCTGCTCCTCTGGTTCAGGTTCTTATCTGTCCTGGCTCTTAGCCAGTCTCTGGACGCTGCATCTCTGCTTTCTGCTCTGTCTCCACTGCCCAGGGTGGAGAGAAACATCTCCCAACAAACTACAAACACTTAGCCCAGTCTAACACTGTTCCAAGTCTCTGCAGTCCCCCCATCTGGGGCTGGGGGGGGGCCCAGAGGGCCCAAGGGGCTCAGAGCCCCTACCTCGTGGCTCTACAACATGGCCACCTCTCCAACAACCAAACTACAACTCATCTCTTCTGGTGAGCTTGTGATATGTTTACATTTTTGCAGGAGTGCCCATTGGACAGAACTTCAAAACTTCCAGGGGTTTCCACCCCTTGGGGTCTACCACTTTTCTTAGCCTCTGGGGGAAAACAAAGTCCAAACCACTACACAAGGCATATCCATTCTTCAGGAAAGATTTTCTCCATAGTAGTGCACATTGAACCTTGAGCAGTTAAGCAGCACACTGGAAATGTAAGTTTGATGCATACTGTTGCGACTTTAAATCAAATTTATGCGGAAATTTATTTTTCTTTTTGTCTACTGTATTTGGCAAGCTATAACTGCAGGAATAATGAACCTTTGACATTGGTGAGTGTGCAAGTTTCGAGCTGGCTTCCCACCAAACCCCCGAAACTCGACAACAGGGACCTGCTTCCCAGAGAGGGAAGAGAAAAGAAAACGACCCAAACAGCCAAAGCTATAGCAAAAATATATACATATATATATTTTACATATGAGACAGATACACACAACGAGAATACCACACACCACAATTCCAGAAATCCCAAACAGCTCCCCAAAAAGGGAAGAGGGGGAGGGAGAAGGGAGAAGGACAAAAAGGGGCAAAGACCGAGCAAGTCAACCAGCCAACTGAAGGCAAACTAGCAAAAATCTCACCACTTCCCTTCGAACAGGCAGGATGGCTGGACACGGCCCAGCGCTCTCCCGTCACGCGTGGCAGATAACAGCAGTCACTGTAGGCCTCAGCTCCAGATAAGCCAGACCGAGACAGGGACCCACCGTTCTCGAACCTCGCCGGAAAGGAAGAGAGCGAGATCCCTCCCGCTGGCTTTATTTATACCTCAAGTTACGTAAAGGAATAGCATGGAATACTTCCGTGATCACTTTTCTAGTTCCTTCCTGGTTATAAGCTGGTCTCCAGGAAGGCCTAGAGTGAAACCATCACATTCTCCACCCCTTATTCCATACTATTTCTTTACATAACACCTATGTCTCACGTTCGCCTACATCCCGCGCATATGTATACACATATGCATATATATATAGTTCTTGTTGGTCTCTCGGCACAGTTGTCTCGTCGTTGGAAAATCAATACCAATGTCAGTTCAGTCCAGATCTTTGGTCTCCTCAGTCACAATTACAGTTCTGATTTATGGCTGTTTCATCACTGGACTGTCTCATCACTGGATACCAGCATCAGCTTAGTTCAGGTCTCTCTCTCTCTCATCTGGTGACTGGCTTCCTGTAAAAACACAACTCAGGACATACAATTAGTTTTTCCCCAAGGCTAAATTTCCTTGAGGCACACACTGGATGACTCCATCCTTCCTCATTATCCACCACGTATTTCCTGGCCCTTGAGCAAAGACAATCCCACGAATGGGTTTGTCTTGGCCTGAGGCAGGGGTAACCCAAACAGCTTTCCCTAGCATTCCCCTCAAATGGATTGCTGGAACTTTATCTCCATCAACAATGTGAAGGGATTCTGCTTGTGCGGGGCCAGCTCGATTGACAGAACCCCTGGTGTTAACTAGCCAGGTAGCCTTGGCTAAGTTCTTGTCCCAGTTTTTATAAGTCCCCTCACCTAGTGACTTTAGAGTTGTCTTCAATAATCCGTTATATCTCTCAACCTTCCCAGCAGCTGGTGCATGATAAGGAATGTGGTACACCCATTCGATACCATGTTCTCTCGCCCAAGTGGTGACTAATTCATTTTTGAAATGAGTCCCATTGTCCGACTCAATACGTTCTGGGGTCCCGTGTCTCCACAGGACTTGCTTTTCAAGGCCCAGAATGGTATTCCGGGCCGTTGCGTGGGGCACTGAAAAAGTCTCTAACCATCCTGTTGCTGCTTCCACCATGGTAAGTACATAGCACTTACCTTGACGGGGTCTGTGGCAGTTTGATATAATCAACCTGCCATGCCTCTCCATACTTATACTTATCCCACCGTCCACCATACCGCAGGGGCTTCAGTCTTTTCACCTGCTTAATAGCGGCACAAGTCTCACAATCATGGATAACTTCAGAAATGATATCCATGGTTAAATCCACCCCTCGGTCTTGTGCCCATCTGTGGGTGGCATCTCGGCCCTGATGACCACAAGCATCATGGGCCCATCGAGCCAGAAACAGCTCTCCCTTCTGCTGCCAGTCTAGGTCTACTTGTGACACTCCTATCTGTGCAGCTCGGTCCGCTTCTCTGTTGTTATTGTGTTCTTCATTAACTCGCTTCTTGGACACATGGGCATCTACATGGTGGACTCTCACATTCAGACTCTTCACTCTGGCAGCAATGTCCTGCCACAAGTCAGCAGCCCAGATGGGTTTTCCTCCACACCTCCAGTTCATCTTCTTTCATTGGTCTAACCATCCCCATAGGGCATTGGCTATCATCCACGAGTCTGTGTAGAGGTAGAGTCTTGGCCATCCTTCTCGTTCGGCAATGTCCAGGACCAATTGGACGGCTTTGAGTTCTGCAAATTGACTCGACTCGCCTTGACCCTTGGTGGCTTCTGCCACTCATCGGGTGGGATTCCAAAGGCTGCTTTCCACTTCCGGTTCCTTCCTACAATACGGCAAGAACCATCAGTGAAAAGGGCATATCGCCTTTCTTCATCTGGCAGCTGATCAAATGGCGGAGCTTCTTCAGCTCGGCTCATTGGCTCTTCTTCTGCCAGACTGAAGTTCCCACCTTCAGGCCAATTGGTTATGATTTCCAAAATGCCAGGGCAATTCGAGTTCCCGATTCGGACACGTTGCGTAATCAAAGCGATCCACTTGCTCCACGTGGCATCGGTGGCGTGATGTGTAGGGGGCACCTTCCCTTTGAACATCCAGCTCAAGACGGGTAATCGGGGTGCCAGGAAGAGCTGTGCTTTGGTGCCAATTACCTCTGAAACTGCTCGTATACCTTCATATGCTGCTAAGATTTCCTTTTCCACAGGGGTGTAATTGACCTCAGAACCCCTGTAGCTTCGGCTCCAGAAACCCAGTGGTCGCCCTCGCATCTCGCCGGGCACCTTTTGCCAGAGGCTCCAGGAGGGACCTTTATCTCCAGCTGCAGTGTAGAGTACATTCTTTACATCTGGTCCCGTTCTGACTAGTCCAAGAGCCATGGCATGTGCAATTTCTTGCTTGATCTGCCTGAAAGCTTGTTGTTGCTCAGGACCCCACTAGAAATTGTTCTTTTTACGGGTCACAAAGTAAAGAGGGCTCACAATCTGACTGTATTCTGGGATATGCATCCTCCAGAAACCTGTTGCTCCCAGAAAAGCTTGGGTTTCTTTCTTGTTTGTGGGTGGAGCCATTGCTACAATCTTGTTGATTATGTCTGTTGGTATCTGGCGTCGTCCATCTTGCCATTTCACCCCTAGGAATTGGATCTCTCGGGCAGGTCCCTTGACTTTGCTCTTCTTGATAGCGAAACCGGCCTCGAGGAGAATCTGGATGATCGTCTGTCCTTTTTTGAAAACTTCTTCTGCTGTATCCCCCCATACAATGATGTCATCGATGTACTGGATGTGTTCGGGAGCCTTACCCTTCTCTAGTGTGACCTGGATCAGTCCATGACAGATGGTTGGACTGTGTTTCCACCCCTGGGGCAGTCGATTCCAGGTGTATTGAATGCCCCTCCAGGTGAAAGCAAACTGTGGCCTGCACTCTGCCGCTAAAGGAATGGAGAAAAACGCGTTGGCAATGTCGATGGTGGCGTACCACTTTGCTGTCTTGGACTCCAACTCGTACTGGAGCTCCAACATATCTGGCACGGCAGCACTCAACGGTGGCGTAACTTCATTTAAGCCACGATAGTCTACAGTCAGTCTCCACTCTCCATCGGACTTACGCACAGGCCAGATGGGGCTGTTGAAGGGTGAATGGGTTCTGCTGACCACCCCTTGGCTCTCCAACTTTCGGATCATTTTGTGGATAGGGATCACAGCATCTTGGTTTGTCCGATACTGTCGTCTGTGTACAGTTGTTGTGGCTATTGGCACTTCCTGATCTTTAACTCGCAGTAATCCTACAATGGAAGGGTCTTCTGAAAGGCCAGGAAGGGCAGACAATTGCTTGGACTCCTCTTCAATCACCGTGGCTATACCAAAAGCCCACCGGTACCCTTTCGGGTCCTTGAAGTATCCTCTTCTTAGGTAGTCCATACCAAGGATGCAAGGGGCTTCTGACCCCGTCACAATGGGATGCTTTTCCCATTGGTCTCCCGTCAAGCTCATGTCCGCCTCTACTACTGACAATTCTTGAGACCCTCCTGTCACTCCAGAAACAGAAACAGTCTCGGTACTCTTATGCTCCGAAGGCATTAAAGTACACTGGGCTCCAGTATCTATCAAGGCCTGGTATCTCTGAGGATCCAATGTGCCAGGCCATCGAACCCACACAGCCCAGTAAACTTGGTTATCTTCTTGGTCCCTTTCCTTCTCCTGGCAGAAGGCAGGGCCCCTCTATTGGTCTTGATCAGAGCATTCGTCGTCAGAGTCTGACTTTGACTTCTTAGACTTTTTGCCGTTGTCGAAGTGGACCTCCATCTCCTTGTGCCTCAGCGATCGCAGTTTCTCTTCTAAGAAGTCTCCATCTACTACATAGACAACTTTCTTGTCAGTGTCCTTTCGCTTCAACTCCCTCACTCTGGCTTCAAGCTTAGAAGTGGGTTCACCATCCCACTTCTTCATGTTTTGTCCTTTACTACGAAGGTATGCCCATAGTTGGTTACGTGACCGACGCTTAGAGTTCTCTTTCCTTCGACGTGTGACAGGGATCGTGAGCGAGATCGAGACCAGGATTGAGGTCTAAGCCGAGGTCGTCTTTGTCGATCCCGCCGTGATCTTCCCATTGGCCTTTCTCTGTAATCTCTATACCTTCTGTCCTCTCTGTCTCTAAGGTCGTCTTCATATCTGGAATATTCATAATCTCCCTCCATTCTTTCCCTATCGTAGGTGCGTCGGTACAGGGGATCGAAGGAGTCTTCCATATTTTCCTCTATGGTTCTTATCCAAGCACACATAGTGTCCACGCTTGGTTCCTCCATCTTTGGATTATATACGGGTATCAAGCAGGAAATATATGGTTTAGGGGCACCTTGAATTACCTTTTTCCACATTGGTTGCGTGCAGGGAACATTCTCAGGAACTTGGATGTCATAATAATCTGGATCAGAATAGATGATCTCCAGCATGGCCAATTCCCGTAGGTATTGGATACCTTCTTCTTCAGTC